ACTGCTCCACTGATCATGTACTGGTTACTCCACTGCACACCTCGGATCACTTGCTCCTCACTCTTAACCTCAACATGGTTCCTGACACAATACATACCCATACACATGTCATCTTTCGACGTAACCTACGCTCAATCTCACCCTCCCGGCTATCTGCTATAGTTTCATCTTTGCTTCCTCCCCTGAACAGTTATCATCTCTTGATGCTAACAGTGCAGTGCTATTGATGCTTTCTGCTCCACTCTTACATTTTGTTTAGACACTGTCTGCCCCTTGTCTTCCAGGCCAGCTCGTACCACCTCTTCTGCCCCTTGGCTGTCTGATGTTCTCCGCGAACATCATTCTAAACTCAGGGCTGCTGAAAGGGTGTGACGCAAATCAAAAAATACTACTGACCTTAATGTGTATCAGTCACTCCTCTATTCCTTCGCTGCTAATGTCTCCACTGCTAAAAGGACATACTATCATAACAAAATTAACAATTCGTCTAACTCTCGCATGCTCTTTAAAACATTTTCCTCCCTTTGTCCTCCTCCTTCATCAACTCTAACAGCTGACGATAAAACGATGTGAATGACATTTTTGAATTGCAAGAACTGAAAATGCAAGGAATACAATTAATTATTGCTCACAAATGAGTAGTGATTTGCAGAAAAGCAAAGATGTATGGCAACAGATCAAGAGTGACTCCTGTTAACACTGGATCTGATTATTAGTAATATAAATATTTTTTATGGTTTTAGTTTTAGTTAACTGTAATAACCCTGAAAAAACTGAGCAAACTAAAAATCATTGAGGATTTCATTTTTATTCTAAACATCTGTCGTCCTTTCACATTTTTGGCCGAAACTTAACAGAGCACCTATAGTGACTGATTAAAGTGAGACAACGAGACACACTTCATCTGGAGTTCTCGTCCGTCTCCTTCATAACCGAGCGTGAACGCATCCGTGTTGTGCAGTGTTTTTACTCTGGACCATGGAAACACCAAACTACGGAAACGGAGAACAAGCGTCGTTGTCTCCTCACACAGAGTTATGTCCTCCTGTTCCTGAAAACCAGCTTCCTGAGAGCCGCAAACAAGCCTCACGCCTCCAAACACTTGACTGCGTGACGTGAAGAGCGGATTGAGATCATGTCCATTTCCTGTTTCTGTCTTTCTGACAGGAAGTGATGCACTGAGCATACAGCCTCTCACTACAACTACAGGAACCTGTGCCGGTGTGACCGTCAGATTCACAAACACTGATATTAATGACCATAAAGCTGAAGATGATCACATTTCATGATAAGATTGTGGATGTTATCATCAAGTCCAGAGTGTGTGTTGATCTGTATTTATGCTGACAGACATGTGAGCTTTACAGGACAAGGCTCTTCAGTGCTCGAAGAAATCAGCCTGATTCCTTCGCATATTTTCTAACATTCATTTTCCCCCCTTTTTAATTTTTCTGGATTCAGTTTTAGTTAAACTTTAATAATCAAAAAGCATGTCAAATCAATTGAATTCATACATTTTGTTTTCATAAAACAGAATACAATAATCTATAAAAAAAAATGTAAATGTGTGATTAGAAATGTGTTTTATTCTTTCAGAAATTCTGTGTTGTGTGTTTTCATTTTTCTGGATTTTGCATTTTATAATTTAAGGCAATTCAGTCAAAAAAGTTTGTCATCAAATGAATGTAGCCTATACAGCTTTAACAATTTAACTCTTTTTTTATGTAATCAAATGAAACTGAAACAATTCCTTTTATGTTTTTGGTAACAATGTGCTGCACAACAGAGGTTTACAGTTTAAATAAAAAAATCGTGTGACATTCCTTGACATACTGTTTTCATAAACGGTATTATTATGACTTTGAGAAGTGAATTCTACAGTACTAAAGCGATATATTTCTTGAAGTGTGACTGGATTTCAGTTTTCTGACTGGATTCTGTGGTCGAGTGTGTGTGTTTTCTCCATCACAGAGCTTGTATTGTGACACACAGTCACACAGTGAATATGACTTCAGGCGACCCCATTAGTGAGCTTTTCATAAATATAGATGTGTGTTTGGATACACACTATAAATCACTGCCACTAAAAATATCAGCCAGACGCACATCTCTGGCCATTGTGCCGCGTCTCGCGCTGATATTTTGAGCATCCCAGCACAAGTGTTTTTAAGATGGTGTGCTAAAGTTAAAAATAGTCCAGCTTTTACAGAGACGCCTTGAAGAAACACCGGACCTCACAGGACTGCACGACATAACAACTGGTCTGAATGTTTATATAGGTTTAGAAAGTTTTATAGGCCTTACAGACAGATCTGTTTAAAATGTCACATATGGAAGAACACTTAATTTCCCAGAATTCCCAGAATAACCTGCTGAATTTCTCTGAATCATACGGATTTGGCGCCGGATCTGGGTCAGCGCCGCCACACGCTCGCGTCATGGTACTGTCGTGAACGCACGTCCACAAGTGACGCAGTAGAGACGAAAATGTGGAATAAAGTCGTTATTTTTGTTTTCTTTGTGCAAAAAAGTATTCTTGTAGCTTCATAACTTTTCTGGACCTTGAACGTGGTAGTTACCTTGCTGTCTATGGAGGGTCAGAGAGCCCTCAGATTTAATCAGAAATATCTTAATTTGTGCTCCGAAGATGAATGAAGGTCTTACAGGTTTGGAACAACACGAGGGTGAGTAATTAATGACATAATTTTCATTGTGAACTAACCCTTTAATAAAG